TAATTTGGCTTGTGACCATTTCTGGAACTGCCATCAAAATCCTCGAATAGGCGTGGCGCATTTTGTTTGATACGAATTCTTATTCTGAGTGGACCACTTTAATTAGTTTATATTCACGAGGTGGAAGTGCGATGAGGGACTGCTATCATTCCAGCCGAAATACGAGCTTTCGCCTGTGTAATCATATAAGCATTTATCTACCTATGACACAGGAAAGAAACCGTCTTGGTTGGTTGGGCGTGCATTGCAGAAATCGTTTTTCTGTTCAATCTGTTTTCCTCATACACGGATTTTTTTGCATTCGGACAGCATAGCTTCGTTGTCTTAAAACCGTAGTTTTCAAAGAAGCATAAAGTGAACTCAGCCACTGCGAGGACTTTCGATGTTCGACGCCTCCCCGGGTACTACTATCACTCCTTTCAGGTCACCTATCTCGTCATTTTAATTCACATATTGAAGCTGATGAACTAATTGTGTGTTTATGTGGGAAAGGTTGTTCTAGTTCTCGCTGCGTGGTCAAGGCCGAGAAGCATTAGGTTTGATGACGTTACCAAGAGTCACAGAAACGTCAGTTCTTGGTCCGCCAGGGCCACATGCAATTCCGCGGAACTTGACAGACCCTTTGGAGTCCATGGGCCCCCAGTAAATTGCCACAACATAAACTTCCGACCTGATGTCCGAGCTCCACAGAACAATGTTCTCGAATTCCCATATTGTTTTAAGAAAAATAGAGTCTCTCATCCATTGGAAAATGTTTGGGACCGATTGGGAAGTCATCGTCTCAGAGGGGTTTGGTAAACGATCGGTGGATTTATTACTGGGCAACGTTTCGCTTTTGACACAAAAGCTTCGTCAAGCCAAGTGAGTAAGTAAGTGGGTTGATTGGGTTTTAAGGCAGTCAGGGAACCAAGTCGTGAGATTCCTTATAACTAGTGACGTGATCAGTGCTGGGTGTTCAGTCTGATGTCCCTGTTTGTTGATTAGTGGGATGGGGTCGTTCACAGATTTCGTTCACCTGTGTTCGTCCAAGGGTGCTAGGACAATTGGTTTTGGGGATGGTGGTGGTTAATTGGATCTAACTCTACTCGGATTTTATAATTTTAAACCCAGGTGATTTCGCTGAGTGACCTGAATCAACGGTAATGCTAGCTTGCTTTACTCCTATGGGCGTTTGTTGTGGGAAGCCTTAACAGATTTCTACTTTTGTGACGAACCCTTTCTTCAACCACGTTTTGTTCTGCCCGGATGATAGCCTACTTGTTTCATAATGAAGCAAGCATTCACACGCCTAGCTCAAGTTCGCCCAATGGGCGGTCGAAACTTTGGATTTCTGCGTTTGGAGAAGACATCGAAAATCAAGAAAACAGTTTCTCTGCATGACATCTTCCACACGACATCAGGGTAGATGCAAGCAGTCAAACAATGTGCTTAAAGAATCGCCATAGGTTTGGCCATTGGTCAACAAAACCGCATCGCTCATTTTTTCGGAAGGACCAAGCATTGCCAAAAGGGCACAATATCTGAAGAAAAACCTCAATTGCACTGAAATTCCCCCAACAGTAATTGAAGGGAATCAAATCTGGTAACTTACACTTTAGTCTTTCAGGCTGTGGGGTAAATTTTCCCAGATCTAATTTTTATTAAAGGGATAAAAGAAGAATATAAGGTTCCAGCTCACAAATTGTTTCTGTCGCACCTCAAATCACTCATCAGAAGCGGTGGAAAGTCCACGAGTTTGGAATGTATCCTTATAATTGGTTTGAAAACGAGCCTATGGAGAATTTACCCGAACATCAACGTTTCAAAAGAGGCATATAGCGTTATACTATTGGTAACAAACGTGCCATTTCACATAGTCAATGGTGTGGATGAAATATCACTTTTATTCTAACCCTTATTTTATCCAAAGCCAGTAAACGAAGGATATACATTAGTTATCAGGGACGATACATTGTGTTGGATTAGGCGTGCATTTGCTTTGAATAATGGACCATGCAATCGAGCTCATAAAACGGGAAATGATACCGGTCACTAGTGAGCTTAATGTAACCGAAACGGACTGAAATAATGGGGATGGTAACCATCGCCCCTTTTTTCGATCAAGAGCACTCACTCAATCCATCACCGGGAACGGTTTGACATCCAGGCCGTTGACTGCCAGCCAGCTGATCAATCTTCTGTTCTAATCGCGCGGCGAGTACGGCGACTGCGAGAGAACGTCCATCACACTTCACTTCCATGTAGGTATCCGCGCAAATTGCCTCGAACAGGGTTGTATCCGAATCTGTGATGTAAATACAATGTTTCTGGACACTGGTGTGCTTGTTTATATCGACTGAGGATAATGGTCATTGGTCAGAAACTTAACGCACCATTCAGATAAATTACTGCCTTTAGTTATAAAACTTTACTGGTTAACGATGTGATCTAAGTAGTATCTCGGCATTTGGGGCTAGCAGTAAGTTTGTGGCAAACGGAATCGGGCAAAATGGGGTTACCTTTTTTCTCGGACACTGTTTTCTTTCCAAGAACATGTTGCACGAGAAAGCACAGGTCACATTTAAATGATGTATTCATTATAGTGAGATTTTCTGGAAAACTCTGTCGCTCAAAGCATGAGCATTGGGTTTTAATTAATTTGTAACTCAGATTTGATTTGGAATACTCAAGAATTAACCTGAACGTCATATGCAAAAAAACGTTTCGTTGGGTGAACAAACACTGAGATTCAGCAAACCAAGAGTGGGAACTTTGCTTGTCCACAAATGAGCAATACACTGTTATCTGACAGGCAACCTAACTTTCGACGGATCTTGATACTTTCATTGTACCACACCCTGAATGTCAAGTGATACGTGGGGAACAATGGCTTTGAAGAACTGTGGAAAACCCACCTGGAAGACACTGGTAATCGATCCGGATGGGGAAATTGTGTTTCGCGCAGTCGGTACTGTTGTCCTGCAGTTGACTTCCCAAAATATTACACGAGTAGCGACCTTCACAAAAATGCCGGACGTGCTGTCAATAAAACCGTTGTGAGGTTAGTGCATTACGGCGAAAGTTAAGCACCCAAACTGTGGAAGAAATGACGTAATGAGCGTGATATACATTGAAAATATATAATCAACCGACATTCCTCCCAAAGACAAAAGTAGTTTGGACATTTGTTCCTCTATTCAGGCATTACATGAACAACGTCAACAGTTTTTGACTTCTTATTTGTCGGTAGTCTTCCAAAAAGGATGATTTAAGGTGCTACAACTTCACCAGAGATGGTGGCCCTGGAAGAGACGGTCTGAATAGTAATAGGCTAGCTAAGTCGCAGCGATACCAACAGATTTTCAGGATCCTTCATTGCTGTGGGGGGAGAAATCAATGTTCACGAGTTGTGCGTAAATGCAAGTCTTTGTAACACCATCTGGTGTAAAGCTCCATAATTCGCAACGCGTGACCAACGCCATGGCAACCGGTCTATAGCCAAACAATTCTTCCAAATAAATGGATTTGTCATGAACGAAACTAATCACTGAAAGCAACAATCTGGAGGTACAGATGTTTGCCGGCTGTCAGCGATCGCATGACTTACCCGTGTTCATTTCGTCTATTTGCCAGAAAAAAATGAACTCAAAACCGATGCCACTGCCTCGTATTTTTGTTTAATTACTTAACGATTGTGCTTCATTTATTCAAATTAAATGTTGGTATGGTTTCCACGCTCGAGTTTCGGGTTTCACTCCCGATCTGTTGTGGATCAGACTTTAGTGCTTCTGGTCAATCGGCTCTTCATATACCTTGTGAATTCATTCCAAAGTGAATGTAGGTCTCTTTCCATCATCCATTTTATAAAAAGAAAGTGGAATACAAGGGTCACTTCAATAGTCGTCAGATCTCTATGGATTCCAAAAACTCACATTCAATCCGGCCAGTCTCAGTGTACATTCTTGACTGAATTTCAGTGCCCGATATCCGAGTGGTTGAGCTACAGTTTAGTACGGGATTCGCATACATGCATTTTATGATCAGATCTCCGTGCGTAAGACCGTATGGACTCAAAGTTGCCGAACAAATCCATCACGGATGGTGTGTGATCGACAACTTGGCACTCTGATTAATGCACGCCTCGAGCAGATGGATGATTTGAAATGCACTCAGCAAAATCAATCCCAGCTCCGTGGAGCGTAAATTGATGCGGGGACAGACTGTGCAGTCCTCCAGAATTAGTGATGTTTCAGTCTGGGATTTCGAAAAACTTTCAGACGGTACGATAGCTTTGACTACTGCGCGTTTTCTCTTGGAAACTTCATTTGTTTTATTTTGCATTTGGGTATGACTGAGTTCACTGGGTATGAAGAGACAGTCTAACTCTGAAGGACCCCATTCAACTAGTCAACCAAATTGAGGACTTTCATTCACCTAACCACAATATATTTTTATAGATTTTTCATTGCCGTTCACGTAGATGTCATTAAATAAAAAACCGTTGACAGTGTTTGCGACTTTCCTGAGGCGTATATTGACGATCAAATTTATGAGTGAACTAAACAGCCACATTCCCCAAGGCACGAGAATGCCAAAGAGGTCAAAGTTGAGCAATGAGAAAAAACACTGAAGAAAATGTTCTGCGATATCCCGAATATCGTGACAGCTGAAACACGAGGCGGCCTGTGTACGACACATTCAGTTGTAGAATATCATAAAAACGAGAGATTTAGTTGAGTCTCTCGTGAAAACCAAATTGATTTGCAAATGAGTGTATTTCTCGAAAACAGTCCAATTTGGGTTCAAGTAGAACATAGGGTTGACGGAAACTCGGGGACTGCGCCTACCTGACGAGCCCCAAGAAGGGCGAAACCGGTCGTGGGCTGTCGAAGTTTTCAGCAACCTTGTGAGTGGTTTGCTCTATGAAACTATACTGTAATATCTCGAATACCGTGCCAACCGAAACATGAGGCGGTCTGTGTGCACCACATCCAGTTGTAGGATAGCATAAAAGAGAGATTAAGTTGAGTCTCTCTTGAAAATGAAATTGATTTGCAAATGACTATATTTCTCGAAAGATCCATGTGGTTTTAACAGCAACGGAGCAGTTAGACTTCTGCCGACGATAGGCCGATGCGATATCCATCACGCGAAACTATGGCAACTACGCGAATGATCCGGTAAATACTTTCTACTCAATTCACCCAAACATCGGTTTGCCTGTGAACTAGGAAAGTGACGATATTCCCAACTCCTTGCATGTTAGCAATGAGATGAAAGGCAGTAGATTAAGGCGCATTCCGTGAACATGATCGGCAAATCATTTTGTGCAGCTCGTGAGTCTTGTTACTGTAGGAGTGATGCAATATCTCATCATGTCCCACCGAAGCAACTATTAAGACTTGTCCTTGTACTGGCAAGAATTGTAACTTCTGAACCAAGTGTTTGCGCAGTTAGTGTGTAACGGTGATACTAATGATGGGGAGGCACGCGAGTAGTATGTGTTGTTCGTGGAATTTTGCTTTGCGTCTTTTGAAAAGGAGAGATCTGTTGTGGAATTTGTGGAGTCACTTTGTAACATTTGCTTGGATTTGAGCGAGGAATAATTGGAGTCAATGAATCTCCAGGAAAGTTCAAGAAGACGCGTTCGGGAGAAGATGGGTGTCCAGTTTTTCTAAATAAGATGCAAATTAGTGTTTTGCTTCCCTGTTCAATTGTCTGTAACCGGTCAGTTGGCATTTCCGAATAAATAACCCCGCAGCAAAGGCCTTCTTTCAAGGGTAGTGGATTGCGTGAAACAAAGTCGGTCTGTGCAAGAAGCAAGCCTGCGTCAGTCTTTAATACTGTGAGTGGGCAATAACTAGGGACATTCCTAAAGGATCAAAGTACTGTGTTAAGTTTACATTTGTGGAGGCCTCGTGTTGAGTTTTTTTCATTCCTCATTGACTAAATCTCAGCGTTTATGTGCCCTCGTATGTGCGCTCGCACTGAGCATCCCACGTTGTCAGTATACGATGGATGAACGCTGCTTCTCTCCATAGACTGGCAAAAAGTGCGGATCCAGCCCTAACACCATTGATTTGAACTTAATGTAAACCGCCTATACGGGCCCTTCGCAGGACACAGTCTGTGAGAATGCAGCTGTTACCTGTAGCTTAGAGCAGCACAAATGGTTTAGGCACCCGCTGTATCTAAAATAAGATAGATTCAAACACTGTCGTCCAATAGTCAGTACTCAGTATGTTTCTGACGAGGACTTTTGTACATTTCATCTTTCGTATGTGTTAGGAGAGACTGTTCGTAGTTGTAACACTTACTTAGAGGTGGTCAGTCCCAGAAAACAGATCTTATTTGAGCACTTCACCCTGTGTATGTCCAGTGATTGTCCATAGATCTGACAAGATGGTCGTCACACTTTCCCCTGAAATTATCTCCCATTGAGTTATTCCCGTTTGTGGCTACTCTGGACAATTTGTTCTGGAAATGTTGGATAAAACCAATGAACTAAAAGGTATTTAAGGCCTCCAAATCCCCACAGACCCACAATGGGTCTGCAAGATTTGCTATGCTAATCAGCCTGACAGCACCCAAAGCTCTGGCTTCTTTCATCCAGTGTGTGGTTCCTGTGACAACGTGTCTAGACACGTTTACTACGGCTAAAATCACAGTTCACATCCCAGCCTAGCGGCGGCACACTGTCACATATCATTGCTGACTCACTACGCAAAGATTATCGGTGGTTTATTAATGAATATCTGGTCACCGAAAGACGGTTTTCCCACACCATCAGACCGCACAATTTTTATGGACATCAAGGGTATAAATTCATCTTTACCATTAGTCCCATCCGGCGCGTATTCACCGGGGATGTCACCCGAAATGACAGCTTCGAGTCAGCAAAACTCGCCAAAAACGACGTGTTTAGGTACAACCGCTTTTTTTTCTTGGAATTATGCTATTTATTAGGCTGGTTGAAATTCACTACCATTTTCGTCACTGTTGTGGCTCAACAAGTGGGTCCCAAACTAGTCGAACACCATACTTTACGTGACGAAGTCTACCCATTGTTACTCTCTTTGGACTCAAATACATCTCTGTTTTGTCGTGCACCAACTAAATCTCTGATTTGTCACGCGATCTTTAACTGAACGCATTGCTTAAGGTCGTTTTAGAGTTCAGAAAAGCACCGGAACGAGAGATTCCCCTGAAATTTGGTTAGGTCTCCAACCTGACTTGCAGATTGTCATTTTTGGATTATTTCGACGTGATAGTTTAACACATTTGATGAGACACAACATCAAACACAGTAAGAACGTTAATCTGTTGCCCACTGACGTTTCCCGGTTCCGCAACTGGCCGACTACTATGCAAACATTTCCAGAAGTTCTGTCACACTGTTACGCTTGTCTTATGAACTTCAAGGTCACCTTGACGAACTTCTGCCAGCATTTCCGCTGAAAAACCTCAGCTGCAAAATGATAGCCACCTGACCATATGTTTTTTATGCTCTTTGAACCAGGTTTTCCGTCAGTGACTGATTTGTCAATCCAAACAGAAGGCCTACACAGAATTCGCAGTTTGTTTTTGTCGATGATTCATTTCAAAACAGACGACTGTGTGTGTCACTGCTTCTTGTTCACATGGTCTTATCTTTTTATACGAATGTATCCAAATGTAGAAAAAGTCACACCAGTTATATAATTTATCTAAAAGCGCAATAAAGTCTCTCTCCTGACGCGTTCCAAAAGCTAGTCCCAAGATGCATCAGAAAAATCATCAATTAAAGCTATTAGCTTAAAATCACGGACATCGGGACACCGATGATTTGCAATTTGTCTAATTGGGTGGTTTCGTGCTCATCATCATGGGTGTTTTCCAATCCAATTGCGTTGATTCAGCAGTTAAATAAAAATTAATGGTTTCGGGCGAACAGGATTCTCAGGAGTGGGGAGTCGCCTGCAGATGAGCCAGACACCACACATCGAAAGAGAGCAGACGCACAAGCAAGCCCTTGAATCAGTGCAGCAAATATCCCAAAGTCGGAGACCACGCAGCCAGTCAGCTGGGGTTTAGGTTAAACATGAGCTAGTCTCATGCAACAAAAATTGTAACCACGAGTTTAAGAAATGCATTTACGAAATAGTGGACAACTAGTTGCCTTAAGAGCATTCGACCTCGAGAAACACACTAAGTTGCAAATCAATTTGGTTTTCATGAGAAACTCAACTGAATCTCTCGTTTATGATATTCTACGAGAGATTCAGTTGAGTCTATCGTGAAAAACAAATTGATTTGCAAATTAGTGTATTTGGGTTCAAGTAGAACATAAGGTTGACGGAAGCTCGGGGACTGCGCCTACCTGATGAATCCCAAAAAGGGAGAAACCGGTCGTGGGCTGTCGAAGAGTTTTCAGCAACCTTGTGAGTGGTGAAAAAATAGTATTCGACCTCGTTCTAACGTGTAATCTGTCACCGAGTTGTGGCGTGGAGTGAACAGAAGAACGTGGGCTGTGAAGAGTTTTCAGCAACCTTGTGAGTGGTGAAAAAATAGTATTCGACCTCGTTCTAACGTGTAATCTGTCACCGAGTTGTGGCGTGGAGTGAACAGAAGAAAGTAAAAACAATTGCTGATTTTTGCCAATCTCGAGACAGTTTAGCTGCTGAGGTAGGAAGTTAACTTGAGGCACACTGGGCATCTTCGTTCCCTTCAAGGTCATGGGAGTCGACCAATAATAGTCTTGATCGGAGTCTTGCCAGATGGGTCGCTGACGAAGTCGCTCACATGAGAAGTCTCGTCCAGAAAATGATGGGTTCTTGCATTTAAAAGTATGATTCGAATAGGTCTTTTGAAGCGCAATCTGCTGAGCCACAAAGCTCAGTAAATGTGTTTGCCATTCACGAGAGAACGCAAGATTTCAGCTTGAGATATAATGTCAACTTCATTCTTCGTAATTACTTGGTTAATCGGGAAAGAAGATTAGAGCCATCTTTTGCAAATGATACCGTCTCTCGTTCTCAGTTTCATTCTCCTCATTTAGCAAACGATGGTTTTGAGGTAAATCCGTTTTGTTCTCAATCCTTATATCACCAAATTCTGTAGGAGACTTCAAGAAACGCCTATATTTCGGCGGAGATCTAAGGAAAGATTCTGTGTGGGTTGAAGACCTAGCGTCCACCACTCGGCTCGATGATTTATTCCGGAGGCACCGACTCTGATGGTATGGTTACATTTGCTATACACGCAAAACGTCAGAGTTAGTTTTACCACCAAACCGCGCCAAAAATGGCGCTGTCTTGGAGGAGCAACCTGTCCAGGATCCACACTACCAATCACCTTGTTTGGGAGGTTTCTATTCAAAATATTCATAAAGCCGATGGACTCTTACCCGCAAGATATCCAAAGCAAAGTAAATAAAGCAATCAAGTTCGTCTCGCTAGTGGGGTCTATCTGAACGCCTGTCCCCGGTTTTGGCAGTGTCACTTGGTTCCATCCACCTCGAACAGCACATTTGAAACCGCATACAGGCACACTGGCGCCTGTCTTCTCAAAGCAGGAGACTTCCATCGAAAACACAGACGGTTCGACATCATTTTCTTGTAAAGGACTTCCGTTCATGTGGCGAAGTAGTGTTTTTGTTTTTTTGAAACATACGGGCAGTGGATTTCTCAGTATGACCAATCTAAGGATGAGTATCTCATAATAAAGAGAAGCTCCTCCGATTAGCGGACAGGTGTATGTGCGTGTGCACTCTGAAGTGCCACAGACGGTTGACATCATTTTCTTGTAAAGGACTTCCGTTCATGCGGCGAAGTAGTGTTTTTGTTTTTTTGAAACATACGGGCAGTGGATTTCTCAGTATGACCAATCTAAGGATGAGTATCTCATAATAAAGAGAAGCTCCTCCGATTAGCGGACAGGTGTATGTGCGTGTGCACTCTGAAGTGCCTCACTGAGACGTACAGACCAAGGACAGTGGCAGCTTAAATTCTCACGTAAAATTATGTAGACGCAGTTAGGCGGACCTGTTAGACAGTCTCAAGAAAGTTCCCTTTTCTGTGAAGCCAAAACGGTATGATCTGATGCCAGACGAGTATACTGTACATCAGGTTGGGAGGCCCGTACAATTCCGGAAGAGACCTCGCGGCTATCCTAAAGGATGAGTCGCATTTGTCAACCAGCGTTTAAATCATTGTTTTGTGAGTACGAGGACTCTCGTTTTCCGCCCTCAGACAGAGCAATAAGAGCAACTCACCACTCTGCGATTTTTTTTCGACATTTTGTCATTTCACCTATTCTTACCAACGTAACTCACTGGTTCCACTGTCTCTTATCGTTTAAACACGCTTCCAGTCGTGATGTGACCTCGAGAACGGTTTTGATCAACTACGTATTCAGCAAGCGCCTTGATGCATGCCATAAAATGTGTTCCGAAGAAAAACTAGTGGAGGTCAACGTATTCTTCATCCATTTATATGTCCGCTATATCCATCTTCCACACTCATTGTGAGTACAAACGTTTGCCTGCGAGAACCGCCGAAAATATGCGGTATCTCTTTAAAGTTAACTAATTTAACGCTAGGCGGGTATCGCGCAATCTCATCTAATTTAGTTGGCCTGGTTTTTCCCACAGTTTCACCTGCATATCTAATTACTATATCTATTACAGTTTCACCCCTCCGGATGCCTAAAGACTCAGCTGACCGAGTTGACGTCAGCTCTGTCTTGCTGACCCGCCTGTAGATGGAATGTTGTAGTGGAACACTGTATCTCCCGTTCCCCGTTTTACAAAGACGATAGTTGTCACAACGAACTGCCTCTAACGTTACGATCACAGGACATTTTACATTGATACCCTTACGAAAAATCAAGGTTGAAAACAGTGAGCCTTCAAGAAAATGCATCCGTTTGCGATGATTTTGAAGCTCTACTTGGGTGGGATCCCAACTACTTGATGAGTGTGTTTCAAGCCACATCGCATTGAGAATTCACCCACGATGGACTCGTACTAATTGTGACGTAACCTGTCTAATTAAGCAAGCATCCGTACTGTGAAGAGCCGAATTCATTCCTGGTATTTGCCGGTATTTGTGTCCGCACTGTACCTGAAAGGGTCCTAAAAAATAAGTTCCCTTTTCCATACATCCACTTTGTTTAGGTTACTAAGCAAACAGACTGATACTGAAATGACAAAATAAAGTAGTTTTTGACATCTGACCGGGCCAACAGTAAAATTTATGAATATTTTCACCTCTCAGCGACTTACCATATGCGCATCTGTCCGAAGACACTTGGAGCTGTACCTGCGATAGATCTGATTATATGTGCCTCGTTCGCCCTCGCTCCAGAAGCACTTAGGACTGACAGTCCCCGGAATGGAAAGCGGTGGAGGTATTTCGGGGTGCGCGTTCACTGACACTGGTTGTATGTGCATTCTTGGTGGACATGTGATTTGAACCGTATCTGCGTTACACGTAATTGCCGTGCTGGTCACAAAACTGGTCCACGTTGGACTGTTTGTTGTCACATTGTGGGCTGCTAAAAACATCGAAATTACAAAGCATTCTGTCATTTCGGAACTTACATATACGCATACGTAATACCACGCAACAAGAGGCGCATCTCAGCAATAAATGTGTATCTGCTTAAAAGTGATTGTCACCCGTCAGAAGGGGGGGGGACAAAAACTACGGATATCAAAAGTCTACCCTGGTTTCAAGTAGAACATAAGTTTGACGGAAAGCCGGGGACTGCACCTACCTGATGAGCCCCAAGAAAGGCAAAACTGGTCGTGCGCTGTCTACGGATTTTCAGCAACCTTCTGAGTAGTGCACTATCCTGATTTGTTCAAGTTTTCAGCATGTAACATTCCTAAACCCACTGACAGCTTCATTGATAGGTTCAACGTACTGTACAAGACACACTGTTTAGGCCATAATAAGGTTGCGCTGACGTGCTGTCAGCATTTTAGAAAAAAAAAACGAACCAAACAGAAAAGTAAAAGGTGTGTGTCTCTCGATTGAAAGACATCACCTTCCGTCGTCGAAACCTTACACTGTTCCGTCTACTGGACCCCAGCATTTCCACCGAGATACATTCCTGTTTGACTATCCTTTACCAGTGCATCTGTTTCCAAAAGAAGACCACATGGGGTGCTTCTCTACCCGACGGAGCCTGTAATCAGACTGTTCCTGTTCACTATTCATCATTGTCAATTGTCATTCGATGGTTCAACTTAGTCGCAGTAGTGGCAGCTACGTTCACATTGGCAAGAAATCACGTGAACTATCGATCGGGTAAACACAGACAAGTGGTCGTGTGTAAATATGCTTGTGGAGAGTTTTATGCTTAATGTTTCGAACGCTGGGTGTAAGATTCCTGGCCAAGCGACTTTGAAGACTCTACTCCGGCAATATCCACCATCTAGGTCAAGAAAGATTATGCCGATGAAATGAGTGGAATGGATGAGACGACTTGTTTGTCGTAAACGTGAACCTGTCGTCTTTCTAAGGAAAGTTTAATTCCCCGCCTGCCTGTTCCTCGCATCCACCCTGTCAAGTCTAGAGGACACGTGACCACATTAGTAGTTCTTTTACTAAATCAAGTCGCGTATGCAAGCGCGTACGTATATTTATCGCCAAAAGGAAAAACAAAGATGTTTCAATCCGGCCTCACAAACAGTGTCACGATAAGGTCTGGGCGATGATCATCATCGTCAAAGACAGCAACGACCCTTTCACCCATAAGAAGCCAGTTTTTGAGTCGGTGACCAGTGGCAACTTAGGGTTCAGGTTCCACAAATCCACTCGAGTTTATTGCAATCAATGACAGTTTGGTTTTGTTTGACCTATGACCCTGTAGTGTGGTTACGACACCAGCTGAATTAACCACTTTCGTACACTTTCGGAGGCCTGAGATAGACTTCAATACCAATAGATTTCGCTGAAACCAGGCTGATTGCAGAGCAAACGGGAAAACTATTTTCTCGTTTGTGAAGCTACGTTTCCTACGGATGTGCAGCGACATGAACGCTATTTAGAGTCGAAATCACCTTGGGCTTAATCTCAGCGGTTAAAATCAGAAACCTCCTACGTGTTTGTTCAAGGTAGGTTAGGATAATTTTGAGCAGAAATGAAGCGGTTAGGGTAGATATTTTCTAACAGGTCCCTGGTTAGCGAATATACACTCATTTGCAAACTAATTTGGTTTTTCGAAAGATTCACCTGGAACCCAGCTGAATCTATCGTTTGTGATGTTCTCAAGTAAAACCCGGGAAACCGGAAACCCGGGGACTGCGTCTACCTGATGAGCCCCAAGAAGGGCGAAACCGGTCGTGAGCTGTCGATGGATATTCAGCAACCTTATGAGTAGTACACTACAAAGGTCCTTAGTTTTTTAAAGCCAGTAGGTGCTCATTTTAACACAGCTATTCTCCTTGATGCAAAGGATAAGCTCAAGAGCGACGATCATCTGAAGACAGTTGATATATCATGATAAATGCCGTCTCTCTCTCTTTGCCTATAAAGGGATGTGAGCAAGAGATCTTTGGAGTCACCTGGAAAAAAAAAGATCTTAATTTTTGTCTGTAATGTATCTCCATCATTCCCTGAAAACCTTAGGATCTGCACATCCTGTGAATGTTTAGTTTGGAAAGTAATTATTGTCTTTATTTGCGCACGATTGCTTCCTTAGGTCTCTTGGTGGTAGACATCATTCAAATGAGCTATCTTACGCACGGGATCTTCTGCTGGTACCAAGAAATGCAACAATTACAAAAATTCTAGAAGTACTCTACAGCCCTTTGCCATTCTTCAGCTTAAATCATCAATGCAGTGATAACGTTTCATCTCCAGTGCATCTGGTACCTTGTGCGACTTCAATCAGTCGCGCGCGATGTGCCGGTGTAGGTTCTGTTTGTGGAAAGTAGAGCTCAGTTTTTACGAGAGTCGAATGCTGTGCAGGAAGCGGTGTTACTTCTTCCAAATCTTGGATTGTTCAATCAGGTGGAGACGGTTTAAATACATCATTTGTTCACTGGGCGTACCACCGCTTAAATAACGGATTTTTTCGCATGGTAAGTCATTTATTCTCCGAATAATGAAATATAAACCAAAATAGATCTCGATTTTCGGCACCTAGACTGCAAGTTGCCAGTGAGCCATGTTGAGCAAATGAGCTACGCGTTACATCAAACACATTTTTAAACAAGCAGGGTTACAATATGGGTTTTTAATTTTCCATTTTTCACCACCAACTGATATAACAAGAAGGCCTCAGAACCATAACTCATGTGGGTTAGCGAATCCGTAACGAGGGAGTTAAAAAGCGCGTTATCGGTTGTGCAACGGGTACCTCCATTGAAGAATGTGTCCAGAACCGTAAGCTGCGTTGGTTGGGACATGTATTACATATGCCGAACCGTCGTTTGTCGAAGGGAATGCTGTTTTCCAAAACCAGTTCAGAGTGGCGTAAACAGAGAAGTGGTCAACCCTTCACTTGGCAGAGGAGTATGAAGGCGATCACAAGACACCTGAGTGCTGTCGGTGCTACTCGCCTTCCAGGATGGGGACCGCGTGATCCTCACTGTTCCTGGTTGGAGACACTAGAAGACATGGCTGCCAACCGATGTCAGTGGCGTTCTTGTCGTAGGTGTCGGAGGTGTAGGCACCTCGGGATTATTGTGGTAAGCTAGCATCAATTCACAATAAGGCTTTGAAATGAATAACGGTTGTACGGTAGTGAAGCATAGGTGTCGAAAACTGATGTCATGATGTCGATGATGATGATGATGATGATGATGATGATGATGATGACAAGAAAGGATAATTTCAATCCAAAGAGCCTCCAAACAGAAATAGCCAACAATCAGGCCTTAATGCTAGCGGAGAATTGCAACATACAGTCGAAACATGGTAGCGAATCTACGTTTAACACATAATTCTTGGCCTGCGCCGGACCGAGCGCGTCTGTGTATTACTGATATACAGTGTTAATGACATCTTCGGCTATTCGGGTCAATCATCATACTACGAAGGCTGATGTGTGTCAGTCATGGTTTCTCGATGCTAGTAGCGTCGCACCGCGGGTAGAGAAAGATGTCTGAAAATGGGGCACATTGGTGCACGTCGGCGCCAGTGCTAGCGAATTAAAATCATAAATTTGTCTCACTTTAATTACACGTCTGAGTTTCATATCGTAATTTAATGCAATGCGTGTGATTCAAGCCACAATCATTCGTTATGGTAGGCCATGAATTTCACCAAGCGGTTACTTTTATAAATATATGCCATGTGTCACCCATTAACTACATTTTCACGCAATTCCTACCGTTGCATTCTCGAGAACAAGTTTCTCGGGAACGACAAAGCCATCAAACGGAAAGTGCATTCACGCTGAAGACAATTTCACCGCCGCAGTAAAATTAAATTTGAACTCGTTGTATATATTCGGGGTTTTTTGCACGGTCAAACAAAAGTCATCACCAATTGAAAGTTTGTCCTGTGGGTGAAGCGAATCTGTGCAGAAAAGCCGAAGAACACCGCGCAGCTGTTTCAACCTTGAAAAATGTCACCAGAAGTCCAAGAAACTCCCCACGACATCCCGGTTAAGAGTTCGAACGCAAAGAGTTCTGAACCCACGACTCAGAGAAAGGATGATAATAATGCTAAGTAGAACTAACGATTGAAAACTTGACAATCGAGGAGCTAATCTGTACTTTTCGATGCTCAACCACTGCGGTGAGTTTGGAATTCACTGTGTTTCATGGGATGAGCACTGCTCATGGTTCCCAATAAGGATGAGACGGCTATCGCGTGCTTCTGGGCTTATAAGCATATGCTGGCTACGCTGACAGGATGAAACCTTAATTGAAACTTACCAAGTCATTTCATACTGTCAACATATATTATTACGCTCGAATTACCGCTGTTAAGATACTGAGTACTGCAGTTATGTTTTCAGTCACGAATCTGCGTGGTCAAAGAGGACATACTTCTACAGTGGCTCCATCAACCAGGTTCAGTGAACGGTCCATGATATTTTGCGAACCACACCTTAGAATGAAAGGAATAGGGAACAAAAAATTTTTGGCAAACATCTTGAGGAATTTCGGTTGGCGGCATGGATATAATGTAGAACGTATCTGGTGCCTGCGCCGCACCAAGCTGTGTTGAAGAGAGGTAGATAAATCGCCTTTGCAGGGGAACATCTGCACCAAATGCTAGAGCAATAGCTTGTTCTGCTGTTGTAATTCGTCACTGAGCCAAAACCAATGACCTCAAATGGCCCAGATTGATTGGAACGGCAAGTGATTTCGATTAGATGACGCAAATTTTAGAGAATGTCAGAACGGTGGAAATCAATGTTTTGTGACTATTTTGTACGGTAAGAACAAAAACGAAAAGTCCTCCATACGTATTTGCAAAGGCACCGCAGTATTCACTCTAAGTTGGCGTTTATTAGGGCCGACCTGGAAGTTCAGTGTGGCTGCTAACCCTTTGCCATAATTTAACGTCATATGTCAGCTGTCCGCTGAACAGTCGAAAGCGATTCGATGGTATTGATTTTTCCTCTGCTCTTGTTGTGTGCAACGCGGTCCCTCGTTTTGTTGTTTCCGTTTTCCGCCTGTAGCCCCTTCCTCGCTTTAACTTGAACGTAAACCGCTGGTTCAACAAGTCTTCGCATATCTAGGTTAAATTGAAAATGTGGGTTCTCCAGTATATGGCCAAATTTTCTGCAGTCAGTGTGTATTCTGGGTAGGCGTACAGTTTCCTATTCACTTATTGGTAAAGATCAAATATAGCATAAGCTATAACCACTCCGGCGTATAGCAGCCGGCATAATCTCGCGATATAAACTCGTTTTTTTCTTAAATATGTTATTATTGTATTCGTACTGCCGCATTTGTTGATAAACCTCCGTTTGAACTACTTGAATTTTGGAGTTTACGCGTGGCTCAATATGGCCCACCTGTTGGCTGCAATCAGTCGGTATCGCACAACATCTATCACAATTCAACCAGGGAATCGAGTTCCATCCACAAATGCGTATAACTTTCTCGGTCAACCTCCTTTGGCCACTGGTTGACCAATGAAAATCCACAGCCATTCACGTCACGTGTTATTACTGAACGGGACCCAGGCTGATTATTGGTTTTTAATCTCCTGTTTGTGTGCTATTCTCGTCTTCACTAGTCATTGTTTATTATGTCTCACCTGATTTCTGATCAAACGTCCCACAGTTTCCTAATGACGTGGAGACACAGAATCATGAGTGACAAAGGCAGCACCAAGCAGCAGGTTTTTCCCGTTCTAATTAATATGATTGAAAAGTTCTCAAACAAACGACTGTCTAGACGCAAACTCGACATGTACGCAGTTCCTAGTCAGATCCCAAGTGAGTCATCATTCGAAATTAATTAAATTTCGACCGAATGTCCCTCTGGACTGCAATTTGAGGATCGGTCAGAAACAGGGATCACAGAAAAGTGAATGGTTTGAAGGGTGTTTCAAACAAGCGGTTGTCATAATCTCTGTGACCTAGAATTTATGCGTGTTTCTTCTATTCATGTGGGACAACCACCACAATTTGTAAAGCGGGAAAGAATCTGCTCAGCTAGATGCTTCTTGATACCCAACATGATAAATCAGGTGGCTGTATTCAGGGGAGATCGCCTCGAGGGGTTAGCAGCACAGTCTGTGTTTTTGTTGCTATTCGCGGTGCTCTGAAAGCCATACAGTTAAACGTTACTAAAAAACGTAAAAATTGCCAAGCCCATATAAAAAACTTTAAAAAAGGGGGAGAACCAGACGGTCGGTACTGGATTGTACGCCTCAGTTGCATTTTTACCATTTAAAGTGATGTGCGGTGTCGCATCAAGCAGTTGGCGTGTGGTCCCGTTTCCAAGACACAGGCGGTACGTAGAGTATGGCTTGGTTTCATCTTGAAAGTTAATGGAAGCAGCAATGCCCCGAATCTTTCCCGTAAGCTTCTATTCTCAACTCGGGGAGCTTGGAACATCTGAGTATAAAGTTCTTGCGAATGCCATATTTTCGGCTGGTTAAATGTCCACGGGGTCATGAGACAATTCTGGCTGAGAATTTTGAACAAGCGATGGACCACCCAAAAGTATCGTTTCCTCTCGTACCACCGATTAGTCCGATGTTGTGTCGAGACGATCATCGAATTTGTTGTTCACACAATTTCAGAAATAAACAAGCAACTGTCTGAATTTCGGGTGGGTGGTATCGCATCACCCAGGGAGGTATCCGTCAAGTTTCGGAAACAGTTGGTGTGACAATATTCGGTCTAACGGCCAATGCGATCAAGCAGCTTTTCTCTCACAGCTGTTTCGACTAGGCACATTCAAACATGACCTAGGTTACATTGATCCCAGGCTTCGCAGCTTGTGTACTGCTTGTGTACTGGCTGGCTATTCATAAATGACGCCTAATAGACCAAAACGTTCTCACCTTTCAACTGAAATTAATTTGTATGTTTTCCAGATATGAGCCCGCAGTCTCTATTGGTGTTTCGCATCATCCAGATTTGTTAAATTCTTCGAGTAAGTGATGTACGAACAGCATTCATCAAGCAGACATGGCATAGATTGATGATCTTACCGGCTACGGTGGCTAAAACTGCATTCCGCAAGGCACGAGAATGCCAAAGCGGTCGAAGTTGAGCAATGAAAAAAAAACACTAAAGAAAATACTCTGCGACACCCCGAATACTGTGCCAACTGAAACATGAGGCGGCCTGTGTACGACACATTCAGTTGTAGAATATCATAAACGAGAGATTCAGGTGAGTCTCTCGTGAAAACCAAATTGGTTTGCAAGTGAGTGTACTTCTCGAAAACAGTGCAGTTCGGGTTCAACTAGAACGTAAGGTTGACAGAAACTCGGGGACTGCGCCTACTGGATGAGCCCCAACAAGGGCGAAACCGGTCTTGGGCTGTCGAACAGCTTTCGGCAGTCTTGTGAGTAGTTTCCTTTACTAAAGAATCTAGTTTAGTGTGAATTTTGATCTACGAAACCAGCATGCTCGTATTTATGGAAGCTGAACTAGAAAGGTCATACACACATACCTTATGCCAACCGTCCTACACTTGGTCCTGACTACTAGCAAGTCATTTGGTACAGTCGAAACACACTCGGTGCACACCAATAGCCTAGTGCAGTTCCGAACACAACTGCTATGCAAAGTGGTATCATGAATGAGACGACTATGCAAATCTCCCCGTGCTCACGGACTATGTCGATTTCCTGCAGCCATTTGGCTGGATTTCGGCCCCCAAAACCATGCAAATTCTAACATCCGGTGCTTTACTGGTAAGATTTTCGTAGCACAACATTAGATCGGGTCACGGAAACGAGGCCCTCAAACCCGGCCTCGTCAGTC